CTCAGCCTCCCAAGCAGCTGGGATTACAGGCACCTACCACCACACCTGGCTAATTTTTTGTATTTTTAGTAGAGATGGGGTTTCACCATGTTGGCCAGGATGGTCTCAAACTCCTGATCTCAAGTGATCCACCCACCTTGACCTCCCAAGGTGATTACAGGCATCAGCCACCACACCCAGCCATAGACAGGAAAGTTCTTACAGCTATTGATACCACTTTACTTTGGCAAGGTAGAGTTAGTAACTGGTAAGAGGCATGAAGAGGGCTCTGATGTACTAGTTAAGCTCTGTTTCTCAGTTTGGGTGATGGTTAATATAAAAGTTCACTAAGCTGGGCTGGGTGTGGTGGTTCATACCTCTAATCCCAGCACTTTGGGGGGCTGAGGCAGGCAATCACCTGATGTCAAGTGTTCAAGACCAGCCTTTTCAACCCCATCTTTACTAAAGATACAAAAATTAGCCAGATGTGGCAGCACATGCCTGCAATCCCATCTACTCTGGAGGCTGAGATGGAAGAATCACTTGAACATGGGAGGCAGAGGTTACAGTGAGCCGAGATCATGCCACTGCACTCCAGCCTTGGTGACAGAGGAAGACTGTCAAAAAAAATATTCACTAAGCTGATTACTTTTGATATGTGCCTTGAGGTATATTTCAAAGATAAGTTTACTGGAAAAAGTACTTCTGGAATGATAAAAATAAAGACCTCCAAAAATCTATACCTCTGTAAGAGTAACAAAAACACTGGAAAAAAGGATCAAAATCAACTTTTTCAGAGCTCTGGAAGTTAGCCAAAAGCTTGAAACATCACTAGCAGCCACTGAGGCAGAAGAAGTTTGGAGGTCCCCAAAAACTCTTAACTTCACAGCACTGCTACTATTTGACCTGTCGGGCGGCTCGCTAAAAGGCTCCATTTTCAAGGTTTCTCTTTACTTGACTTGATTCAGAGCTGATGCTGCAAGAACAGCTTTATCCCTAGGTTATTTGTTGAAAAAAACTATGGCAATTGTTAAAATGTGCAGCTGCCTGAGAAAATATCTGTACATCACATATCTGATAAGGAACTTATAGCTAGGCTATTTAGTCTATATAAAGAATTCTTACAACTCAATCTGAAAGCGGGTAAAGGATTTAAGTAGACATTTCTAGCTGGGCATGGTGGTTCACGCTTGTAATCCTAGTGCTTTGGAAGGCTGAGGCATGATGATCGCTTGAGGCCAGGGGTTTTAGACTAGTCTGGGAAACATAGCAAGACCCCATCTCTACCAAAAAAAATTTAAAAATTAGCCAGGTGTAGTGGCATGTGCCTGTAGTCCTGGCTATTCAGGAGAATAAGTTGGGAGGATTGCTGGAGCCCAGGAGGCTGAGGCTACCGTGAGCCTCTGTACCACACTCATTCCACTGCATTCCAGGCTGGGTGACAGAGCAAGACCCTGTCTCAAAAACTAAAATAAGTAGACGTATCTCCAAAGATGTACAAAGGGTCAAAAACACATGAAAAGGTGTTCAACATGATTAACCATTAGGGAATACAAATCAAAGTCACAGTGCAGTAACTTGACACTCACTAGGATGGCTGATCTAATAAAGACAGATCACACATGTTGGCAGGAATATGGAAAAATTAGAACCCTTATACCCTGCAGGTGGGGATGTAAAATGGTCCTGAAAACAATTTGGCAGTTCCTTAAAAAGTTATACATAGAGTTACTATATCATCATCAATTCCATTCTTACGTATATACCCAAGAGAACTGAAAACGTACTCATACAAAAGCTTGTAAACTAATGTTCACAGCATGATTCATAAGAGTCAAAAAGTGGAAAAGGCCCAAATGTCTCCACAAATGGATGAATGGTTAAAGAAATATGGTTAAACATATGGAATACTATGTTCTGAAACATCGATGAGCACTGAAGGCATTACACTAAATGAATGAAGCCAGTTACAGAAGACCACGGACTGAAATATCTGGAATAGGTAAATCTATAGGAACAGAAAGCAGCCTCTGTTCTCCCGGGGCTTGGAGAAGCCGAGCATGGTGAATGCCTGTAATGGGTATGTGGCTTCTTTTTGCAAGGATAAAAATGTCCTAAAATTAGATATTGGTGATACTCAATGCTGTGAATATATAAAGCCACTGAATTGTACATTTTAAAGGATATATTTTGTAGTACGTGAACATCTCACTAAGGCTATTTTTAAATTATTTTTATTTTTACTTATTTATTTTTGTTGAGACAGAAATATTATTGCCCAGGCTGGAGTGCAGTGGTGTAATCTTGGCTTACTACAACCTCTGCCTCCCGGGTTCATGCAATTCTCCTGCCTCAGCCTCCCGAGTAGCTGAGATTACAGGTGCATGTCACCATACCCAGCTGATTTTTCTATTTTTAGTAGATATGGGGTTTCACCATGTTGGCCAGGCTGGACTCAAACTCCTGATCTCAAGTGATGCCCTCACCTCAGCCTCGCAAGGTGCTGGGATTACAGGCGTGAGCCACCACACCCAGCCTCAAATATCTTGTAAAAAATAAAAATAAAAGGGAAACAGGTGAGTGGCTGTTTTCAGTCTGCAGGGAACTGTTACCTGGAAAGGTGTGGAGCCTCACTCCTACCCTCCCCACCAGGTGGCGCTGAGCAAGGTAGAGAAGAACAAAAACTCTACCCCTGCAGAGCAGCCCCCACTCCCTAGCAGCCCACAGCCTGGCATGAAACCAGCACGATTATCTTGCAGGGGATAAAAGGCAGGAGACAGGAAACACATTGCCTCGCCTTGAGAGAGAAGAGGGATCCAGGTATTTACACCCCCATGGACCAAACACCTTTTTCCTTCTGTGTTGCAATCTCGCTACATTTAATTTGTTGTTTTCTAATTAAAAAGGAGTACATGGAGGGCCAACTGAACTTGAACTGTTTCTCATCAGAAGCTGTAAACTCAGTCTTCCTGTTCATTAAAAGAAAAAAAAAAGCTTTCCTTTTACTTGACGCCCGTTCATAGCATGCCTACAGAAATAAGTAACCGTGCTGGAAAACAATCTGGAATTGCTGGACAGAAACAGTCACTGTGATCGTTTAAGATATAATATACCTAAAGCAAGCAGCACTGTGGTTAGCATGTTGCGGGTACTCAGGATAAGTAACTATCGTTTCAAATACCTTTTCCTTAAATGCTCTGCTGGTGTGGTGCTCACTACCCTGGAATAATCTTAACTGAACAGTGCCCTCCAGAGGCCACTGGGAATTCAACGGTGCTGACAGTTTAAAGATGGTCTGGAAAAATACCACAGAAAATTATCATTTAATTGTCTTTTTTTCCCCTTTTTTCTTTTTTTTTTTTAAGATGGGGTTTCACCATATTGGCCAGGACAGTCTCGATCTCTTGACCTCATGATCCGCCCACCTCGGCCTCCCAAAATGCTGGGACTACAGCAGTAAGCCACTGCGCCCAGCCCATTTAATCGTCTTTTTCTTTTTTTTTGAGGTGGAGTTTCGCTCTTGTTACCCAGGCTGGAGTGCAAAGGCGTGATCTCGGCTCACCACAACCTCCGCCTCCTGGGTTCAAGGAATTCTCCTGCCTCAGCCTCCCGAGTAGCTGGGACTACAGGCGCGTGCCACCATGCCCAGCTAATTTTTGTATTTTTAGTAGAGACGGGGTTTCACCATGTTGATCAGGATGGTCTCGATCTCTTGACCTCGTGATCCACCCACCTCGGCCTCCCAAAGTGCTGGTATTACAGGAGTAAGCCACTGCGCCCAGCCCATTTAATTGTCTTTTACATTGATGTGGAGTCAGCACCAGAGCCTGGTGTCCCAGGATGTATTAGAACCTGATCGATTGTCTGATTTATCACCCATAGCAGCCTTTTTTTTGGCCAGGGCTTGTCTGTTTGCAAGGGATGCTTCTGAGGACATGGAGATTTGGGGACACAAGTCCACCTAGGCACAGTGGGAACTAGTGCTGGAAACTGCCAACCCCTGGAAGGTACTGTCCCATCCCTTTTTCTGGGGACACTGTGTCTCAGCCCTGTCCTTTTCTGCACGTCCACTCTGTGTTTCTCTAAAGAAACTGGCTTCCTCTTGGCATCTGCCATCTGTAACTGTAGCATGGGTGTGTGGCTCTGGCTCTTTCTGGACATGAATCCAGATGTGCTTCCGCTTGGCCTTCCAGCTCATCTCATGCAGCAAAACAGCTTGGTCTCTCCCTGGCTTGATTCCAGATTTTCAGGGATGAAACTGGTTGTCAGTCAATTCTAATGGCCGGATTTAGTGCACCTATCCCTGGTGGGGGGCCAGGAGGTGGAAGTGGGGATGCGAGTGTGTGTGTAGGGAGATAGGGCCAGTGTCACGTGACACAAAACAAATTTAGCACATATGGAAGGGCAGACATGTCAAAGAGGCTGTTTTTCTACAAACCCAGACCTAGTATTTATAGGGCTTTACCATGTGTCATGCACTGTTCTACTTTTTTTTTTTTTTTTTTTTTTTGAGACGGAGTCTCACTCTGTTGACCAGGCTGTAGTGCAGTGGCACGATCTCAGCTCATTGCAACGTCTGCCTCCCGGGTTCAAGCAATTCTCCTGCCTTAGCCTCCCCAGTAAATGGGATTACAGGCGCCTACCACCCCACCTGGCTAAATTTTTTGTTATTTTTTTTAGTAGAGACGGGGTTTCACCATGTTGGCCAGGATGGGCTCTATCTCCTGACCTTGTTATCCACCTGCCTCGGCCTCCCAAAGTGCTGGGATTATAGAAGTGAGCCACCGTGGCCAGCCTGTTCTAAGAACTATCTAAGCACCATTTCATTTAATCCTTACAAACCTTCTATGAAATTTGATCCTGCAATCATCCCCTATGAAGTAGCTGCTGATAACGATGTTTGTGTATCTTTCCCTAGTTTTTCTAATGCATTTTATTCCTATTTTAAAGATGAAGGAACCAAAGTTTAGAAAGTTTAAGCCATGACTTAAGCCAAGGCAGTCTGATTCTTTTTTTTTTTTTTTCAAGTTAGGTAATGAGCTGACATCGTAACAAGGTTTGAGGGTGGCACATCTCACACACGTGCGTGAACACCCAGTCATCATACTCACGAACTACAAAAGGATCGATGCAGGCCGATTCTATTTTTCTTTTATGTGTGTGTGACGAAGCCTTGCTTTGTCATGCAGGCTGGAATGCAATGGCGAGATCTCGGCTCACTTGCAACCTCTTCCTCCCAGGTTGAAGTGATTCTCCTGCCTCAACCTCCTGAGTAGCTGGGATTGCAGGCACCTGCCACCACACCTGGCTAATATTTGTATTTTTAGTAGAGACAGGATTTCACCAGGTTGGCCAGGCTAGTCTTGAACTCCTAACCTTAGGTGATCCACCTGCCTTGGTCTCCCAAAGTGCTGGGATTACAGGTATGAGCCATTGTGCCTGGCTGGCTGATTCTAAAGCCTGGAGGTTAAACACTCACCAAACCTTCCTTCCAGAGTAGCCCCTATGGCACAGTAGATAATTTGGCTATGCAGAAAAAAACATCAAATTTGGTCTGGTTCTCAGGGGGGTTATAATCTGGTTAAGGCAGGCAAGATTTATACATGCAAAACAATGAGTAAATGACAGGAGAGGGATCAAGTACTAAATTGCATGTTGCAATTAAATTTGTTTTATATTGCTATGTAACAAATTACTACAAATGTAGAAGCTTTGGAGCAATACCCATTTATTAGCTCACCGTTCTGTAGGTAAGAATACAGCTGCTCACGCCTGTAATCCTAGCACTTTGGGAGGCCAAGGTAGGTGGATCACCAGAGGTCAGGAGTTTGAGATCAGCCTGACCAACATGGAGAAACCTGCTTCTACTAAAAATACAAAATTAGCCAGGCATGGTGGCATATGCCTGTAATCCCAGCTATTCGGGAGGCTGAGACAGAATCGCTTGAACCCAGGAGGTGGAGGTTGCAGTGAGCCGAGATTGGTTTCAAAAAAAAAAAAAAGAATACAGCTGTGGCATGGCTGGGCTTGTGTTGACTGGAGTTGCCAACAATCTCATCTGGGGCCCAGGGACCTTTTTGAAGGGGTTAAAATATGCTATCCTGGCATACTGATTATTTAAGTTAAAGGGACTTGAGAAACAGCAGGTGCAAAAAGATCGCTTTGACCTTCATCGTGTTTCTTAAAAGCAGAAGATTGAATTCCCATGTGAAAGACACCCTCCCTATGCTAGCAAGAGGCAACATTCTTGTCATCAAGGGCAAGACACTTGAGGTCAAGGAAATTCTGTACAAACAAGCCTTTCTTTCCCTAGTTACTTTCCTACCCTAATAACTATTCTAGCGCAATCCCTTTTGCCTTACACATTTCACAGTTTACTATTGTGTCCAATCCAGAATGGAAGAAACTGACAATAACTGCTTCTTTGGGTCTTCATTTTTTTAGGAGGGCTCCTGTAAAACATCTGTAAAGGAATTTGTATGCTTTTGGCCGGGTGCAATGGCTCACGCCTGTAATCCCAGCACTTTGGGAGGCCAAGGTAGGTGTATCATGAAGTCAGGAGTTCAAGATCAGCCTGGCCAAGATGGTGAAACCCCGTCTCTACTAAAAATACAAAAAGTTAACCAGGCGTGGTGGCAGGCGCCTGCAATCCCAGCTACTGGGGAGGGCTGAGGCAAAGAACTGCTTGAACCCAGGAGGCAGAGGCTGCACACAGATCACTTGAGTTCAGGAGTTCGAGAGCAGCCTGACCAACATGGAGAAACCTCTGTCTCTACTAAAAATATAAAATACATGCCTATAATCCCAGCTACTCAGGAAGCTGGGGCAGGAGAATCACTTGAACCCGGGAGGCAGAGGTTGCAGTGAGCCAAGATTGCACCACTGCACTCCAGCCTAGGCAGCAGAGTAAGACTCTGCCTCAAAAAAAAAAAAAAAAAAAAAAAAAAAAAAAAAAAAAAAAAAAAAAAATCTATCTTATCTCAATTCTCAGGACCATAAGAGGAGAGAGGTGGTTTTCCTGTTCCTATCTCTTCCAAGCTCACCAGTTGTTGGCAAAGTTCAGTTCTTTGTGGTTGGAGGCCTGAGGTCCCTTTTGCCTATGAGTTGCAATCAGGGACTGCTTTCAGCTCCTAGAGGTTGCACCTCTTCATCTGCAGTCCACAATGGTGATTGTTTGCCTTCCTCTAGACCTGCTGGAGCATTTCTCTGACTGCCAAACTCTCTGCTTTGTTTGTTTTGCTTGTTTGTTTTTTGAGACAGTCTCACTCTGTTGCCCAGGCTGGAGTGCAGTGGTGTGATCTTGGCTCACTGCAACCTCCGCCTCCTGGGTTCAAGCAATTCTTGTGCCTCAGCTTCCCAAGTAGCTGAGATTACAGGCACATGCCACCATGCCCAGCTATTTTTTTTGTATTTTTAGCAGAGACAAGTTTCACCATGTTGGCCAGGCTGGTCTCGAACTCCTGACCTCAAGTAATCTGCCAGCTTTGGCCTCCCAAAGTGCTGGGATTATAAGTGAGAGCCACCTCGCCCGGCCAAACTCTCTGCTTTTAATGGGCTAATGTGATTAGGTCAGGACCACCTGGATATTCTCCCTTTCTTTTATTTTCAGTTTTTTTTTTTTTTTCTGAGATGGAGTTTTGCTCTTGTTGCCCAGGCTGGAGTGCAATGGCGCAATCTCGGCTCACTACAACCTCCGCCTCCCAGGTTCAAGCGATTCTCCTGCCTCAGCCTCCCAGGTAGCTGGGATTACAGGCATGCGCCACCATGCCCGGCTTATTTTGTATTTTTAGTATTTTATTTAGAGACAGGGTTTCGCCATGTTGGACAGGCTGGTTTCGAACTCCTGACCTCAAGTGATCCACCCGCCTCGGCCTCCCAAAATGCTGGGATTACAGGCGTGAGCCACCATGCCCAGCCTAATCTCCCTTTCTTAACGTCAACTGTGCTCTGTAACATAACCTAGTCACCAGAGTAAAATCCATCAAATTCAAAGTCCTGAGGATTAGGCAAGACATATACACAATGGGGCGTCTGGAACTGGGGGACCATTTGAGAATCCTGGATACTACTCCACATAGATTATGTGGACGTGCAGGTCTGAGATGTTTGCAGGAGTGGGAGGAGGAAAGGCTTTATGCAGGGCCTTTCACTGGGCCCTGAAGCATAGGCCATGCTAGAGAAGACGGCATGCCCTGGGATGGCCTTAGAAACTCAACCACGTGAATTAACGATACTTTGGAAATTTTAGGGGATAAGAATTCCAAAGAATACTAGAAAAAGTTTCATCAATGAGATGGAGGAGGGAACTAGCACTACTAGATGTTACAACACAATTAAAAGACTGGGTAATGAGCATTAAATAGACATACAGATCAGAAGAAAAATAGGATACCCAGAAATGGAAATGTGTGCATATTGCTGGGTGCAGTGGCTCACACCTGTAATCCCAGCACTTTGGGAGCTCGATGTGGGCAGACTGCTTGAATGCAGGAGTTTGAGACCACCCTAGGTGACATGTGAAACCCATTCTCTGTAAAAACTACAAAACATGTTTTTTTTTGTTTCTGGCAACTTTCATTTAATTTTTTTTGTCTTTTTTTTATGTTTTGTTTTGTTTTTGGTTTTGTTTTTTGCCGCATCTACTATGAGAATAAAGACCGTTCTCAGCAATCAGCCTGTTGACATTCCAGAAAATGTCAACGTTACTCTGAAGGGATGCAGGGTTATCATGAAGGACCCCAGAAGAATGCTGTGGAGGGACTTCAAACACATCAATGTAGAACTCAATCCTCTTGGAAAGAAAAAAAAGAGGCTCCAGGTTGACAAATGGTGGGTGACAGAAAGGAGGTGGCTACTGTTGGGACTATTTGTAGTCATGCACCGAATATGACAAAGGGTGCTGCACTGGGCTTCCGTCACAAGATGAGGTCTGTGCATGCTAACCTCCCCATCAACGTCGTTATCCAGGAGAACCGGTCTCTTGTTGAAATCCGAAATTTCTTGGGTGAAATATATATCCCCAGGGTTCGGATGAGGCCAGGTATTCCTTGTTCAATATCTCAAGCCCAGAAAGATGAACTAATCCTTGAAGGAAATGGCATTGAACTTGTTTCAAATTCAGCGGCTTTGATTCAGCAAGCCACAACAGTTAAAAACAAGAATATCAGGAAATATTTGGATGATGTCTATGTTTCTGAAAAAGGAACTGTTCAGCAGGGTGATGAGTAAGATCTAAGAGTTGTCCAGCTACAGAAACAAGATGCTGGATGATTCCTAAGACCTATGTGTAATGTTTAAATGATGCAATAAAAGAACCTACTGATTTGGAAAAAAAGAAAACTACAAAAAAATTAGCCGGGTGTGGTGGTGCATACATGTACTCCTAGCTACTTTGGGGGCTGAAGTGGGAGGATTACTTGAGCCCTAGAGGTTGAGGCTGCAATGAGCAGAGATCATGCCACTGCACTCCAGCTTGGGCGACAAAGAGAGACCCGTCTCAAAAAAAAATGTGTATGAAAACAAGTGTGTGTATGTACACGTATAAATCATAATAAATCATCCCATTACTGGGTATATTCCCAAAAGATTATACATCATTCTACTATAAAGACACATCAACACGTATGTTTATTGCAGCACTATTTATAATAGCAAAGACTTGGAACCAACCCAAATGCCCATCAGTGATAGACTGGATAAAGAAAATGTGGCACATATACACCATGGAATACTATGCAGCCATAAAACAGAATGTGCTCATGTCCTTTGCAGGGACATGGATGAAGCTGGAAACCATCATTCTCAGCAAACTAACACAAAAACAGAAAACCAAACACCACATGTTCACACTCATAAGTGAGAGTTGAAAAATGAGAACACATGGACACAGGGAGGGGAACATCACACACCGGGCCTATTGGCGGTCGGGAGGCAAAGGGAGAGTGAGCATTAGGACAAATACCTAATGCACGCGGGGCTTAAAACCTAGATGACAGGTTGATGGGTGCAGCAAACCACCACGGCACATGTATACCTATGTAACAAACCTGCACATTCTGCACATGTATCCCAGAACTTAAAGTATAATTTTAAAAAACATAATAAATCAAACCTCACAAATTGAGGA